CATTATTTTAAAAAGAACTCTTTTAATAAATTAGGAATAGAAGGGAATTTCTTTAGCATGATATAAATAGCACATATAAAAAAATTAAGCAAATGTAGTCCTCAGTGGGGAAACATTAGAACATTACCCTTTAAAATCTGAAATGAGGTAAGAATGTATAAGATCACCCATGTTTCATTCTTGTAGCAGATGTTCTTGCCAGTACATTAACTTTAAAAAAAAGGAATTCAAAGGGAGAAGAAAAAATAAAATTATCACTATTTGTAGTTGATATGATCATTTACACAGAAAACCCCAAAGAATCTACAAATACTTAGAAATAATAGAATTTAACAAGGTAGCTCAATAGAGGATTAATAGAAAACAATGAACTGTCATTTCACACACCAGCAACAAAAATAATTAAATAGAAGATACTATTTACAACAGTATTAGAGGACGTCAATTACCTAGGAATAAATCTAACAAAAGATGAATTAAAACCACTACAGGGAAGATCATAAACTTTAAAGAAGAACCAAACAATGGAGAGCTATGCCAACTTCACTGAATGAAAGATTTCATTCTCTCCAAATTAATCTACAGGGAAATTTTTATCAAAATCCAAAAGGTTATTTTGGGGAGGAATCTGATAAGCAAATTCTAATCTATATGGAAGAATAAAGAGCCAAGAATAGCCAGGCCACTTTTCTGAGAAAAATTTGAGTTTTCACTTGACCTAACCATATCAGGACTTACTTGAAGCTGCAGTAAATGAGGCAATGTTAAAGGCCCTGGGATACATATGGTGACCGATGAATAGGGAGCCCAGAAACAGGCACATATATATGAAGTGTTGACACATAACCGAAATGGCATTCCAGATGAGTAAAGAAAGGATAGACTATGCAGTAAATAGAGCTGGGCAAGTGTTTCTCTGTATAAAAAAATACATGAAACTGGATTAGTGACAGTTATTCACCCTGCATCTCTCAGTACCAACCCCATGCTTCTATACTTTTTTCTAGAATGCAGGTTATAATGTGTGTTTGCTCTATTATGTGAGAATATTCAGTTCTGCTACAGAGGACAAGGAAAGCAGACAGGATGGGTGAATTTCATCAGATGTACTATTTATAGGTGATAAGTAAGCAAGTGGTTTGTGAGACATAGGCAGAAGTCCCATGTGCTAAAAATAGGAGCAAATTTGTAATCTGTGAGACATGCAAAAATAGAATAAATTGAATATATTATAAAAAGAAGGGACCAAACAAAAGTGTTACTTACAGGTAGAAAGGAATAGAAAAATCAAGTCATGAGTCACCAAGTGTAGAGAGCATGCCTCCTCGGGCTCACAGCCAGGTCATCCCTAAGTTGTCTACTTATTGGTAGACATTATTCTGGCCCCTGTATGCTCTGCCCCATAAACGCTGACAAAAGGGATGGCTGCCCAGAAGAACACTTATGAGCTGTGTGCATAAACATGCCACCCGACCAACTTGCCTTTGCATCTCCCAATAGAGCAAGTATATGTTGGTTCCAAGCATCTTCCACCTACTGATCCTTTAACCTCAATGCTGGTCCTCAAAACTGCACTACTGGAGCAAAACACAAGATTCAGAGAATGTGTGGTCCTTTCACCCTGCTTGTACCCATCGCAAGTGGGTTAACTTACCCCAGCTCTTTCCTCTTGGTTCTAGCTGTATGTTTTAAATAGATTCAGTAACCTTTGTGATTTGATCACCATAATTTGGTCTGAGCCTTCTTGGTCTGTGGCCTCTGTAGCCTGCCTAGAGCACACTGGAGGTTTCCACTGCATGGAGCCAATTTCCCACAAGACCCTAGGGCTGGGAATCTATATGCCACATTTCCCAGGCTCCCTTGTCAGCTAGTTTCTGGTTATGTTCTGCCAAGACGAAGCACTGGAGAGAGACTGGCAGATGGGAAGAGGACAGAAAGGGCTCACTTCTGACCTCAGGTTCTCATCGCCTCCCTCTAATATCTGTACACCTCCACCACCAAGCATCCCTCCTTGCCAAACTGGGCTCCAAACCCTGAAAGCTTTCAAAGACCCAAGACAAGTTAGCAATGTGGGAAAAAAAGTCTTGGTTCTAAAATATGAAAATGGAAAATCAAAATGAACAAATGTTTTATTAAATACCTCTGAAAGGTAAACTTGTAAACTGCAATTCAACCCTTTAGCACTTATATCTGTATATAAATGTAATAAAGCTTGAATCACAAGAACAAAATGAGGAACATATCATAAAACTCAAAAAAATTTTAAATAATTTCCCTTATTTTTTTTTTTACATCAAAGTAGTTATATTTAACATGGGATGAGGGTCTATTTTAAATGGATTGATACGACATGTGTGTTTTGGGGCTGGGGTGGGGGATGTTCAATGGTAAGGGTGGCCATGCCCTAGAAGTCTATCAGGGCCCAATAGAGCCTCTCACTCTATAGATTTCTGCTGCATCTGACACAGTGTGCAGTGTAGGTTTTTTTTTTTCCTAAAGATTTCTTTTTGATGTGGACCATTTTTTTTTTTTTTTAAGTCTTTATTGAATTTGTTACCATATTGCTTCTTTTTTACGTTTTGGCTTTTTGGCCACGAGGTATGTGGGATCTTAGCTCCCCAACCAGGGATCGAACCCGCACCCCCTTCGTTGGAAGGCGAAGTCTTAATCACTGGACCACCAGGGAAGTCCCTGCGTGGTGTAGCTAACATCCTCTTTCAGCAACAGCTCATGTGACAAAGTAGGGGAGCAGAAACATTGAGGAGTTGCCAAAAAAGGCTAGAGCTTTGAAGACCCTTGCTAGCTCAGCTCTTTGTGGCCTGTGAGGAAACGTAAGACTGGGGCCCCAGGGCAGACATGTGTCCAATGGCCAGAACCTGAGTTTGTGGGTGGCCAGGGCAAGGTTATGTGTGCTTGGAGTCATGAGTCTCAGCGGCCCTGGAAAATAGAAAGAGTGGTCAGTTATCACCTAGTGTCATGGTTCTGGTGTCATCTATAGTCTTGTAGGCCAGAGAAGAACAGCTCTGGTTTCCCAGAGGAAGTGATTTGTCAGCCTCCAGTGCCTCCTACTCCTATTTCCCTCCCTGAAGTCTGCCATCCACTTTGTACCTAACCTGTCTTTGCTCTATACCAGGGCTTCTTAAACTTTAGCGTGTATAGAAGAGAGTGCCTATTAAAAGCGCAGATTCCCAGACCTTACCCTTGATTCTGTGTAGACCATGCTTTGAGAAGCTCTGTTCCATAGGATCGTTGTCTCCTCTGCCCCCAAAGCTAGTTAAGAAATTCAGGTGCTAGGGACAAGTTCGTGCTCCAGCTAGGGCAGACAAAAGGCATTTGAAGTAACCAGAGGAATTTACTGAGAATGAAGGAAGAGCCGAGAGGGCCAAATTGGTTTTCATATGGGGTTTTCAACCCCACATTTTGTTCACAACCTCTCACTGGGGGTAAAGCAGATCCAGCTCCTGGAGCTGAGAGAGCTTGGGGTCGGCGAAGGGCAACTCTTTTTCTCTGTAAATTGGGAGTTCCAAGGACAAAAGCCTGATTTTAAAAATGTATCTTGTAACCCTTTCTGTCCCCATCTGCAGGCCCTTGAGATCACAGTGTGGTCAGACCTGAATCACCATTTGCACTTTGAAACAGATACATACCATACCACCAAGTTCTACCAAATCTGCATCAGAAGCCTTTGGTTTCATTATGTGATGAAAGGCTTTGCTTCCTCTGCAAAGGAAAGTTAGGCAACATGATCAGAATGGGAGTTTCAGGTTGCTTTTAGACCTGGACACCCTTCTACTTTCATAATGCTAGGGGGTCTGCGGAGAAGTAAATCAGAAAAGAGAAGTGCTGGGCTTTCCTCTCTCTCCCTTTCGGCTCTGTGGAACAGACATCATGGAAGAGACTGGACTGGGTATTTGTAATCATGTGATCCCACTCAGGATCTCATGGCAGTCTCCAAGACTATGCCTTCTCTTACCACCCCCGCCCACCGCCGTGCCGTCATCTGTTCCTCCTGGCTCCTCTGTCTTCCAGTATCCATCTCCCCAATCCAGTCCTTGACTAGGCTGACTGCCCAGTTCAAAGTTTCAGTAATTCAGTTTACCAACAACCAGAACAACTCACGAGGAGTGCACAGCTCCAGGATCAATTAGGTAGAAGAGGGTGGAGTCAGGGGAAGTCTTTTTTTCTGATAAGAGAGGAGGACGAAGCCCCTAGAGTCTCAGCCCCAGGACTGGAGAGAAGGCACCCCAGGTGCTAGCGGAGTCCTTTGTCTTTATGATGATGGCGACAGGATCAAACTATGTGCGAAAATAGGGATGGTAACAGGAAATAACCCTCCAAGTTAAAATAAATAGATCTTGTAAGAAAAATAATGAAAAGAGAGTGAATAATTACTGTCATTTATATGTCCTGCTCAGGATTTCTGCATCATTAACACACAGCATAGTCTCTGGTAGAGTATCACTAAATGCCTCAGATTTGACATGTGCTAAATTTTACCTGATTAGCAAAATGCTCACACTTGTAAACTCAAGTCCTTACTGGTAGATTCCATCTGCAAGATTGTTCTCAGCTTAAAACTTAAAGAAAAGCAAAAAGGAAAGGAAATGGAAAAAAATCAGAGGAAACCTGCCCCCTGCCCTGGACACCGGCAAGGCTGACACAAAGGGGTTAAAGTTAAGTGAAGTCAAGGTTTAAGAAGATGGGGCCTCTATATAAAGTTGAACAAGACGTCTGGGGACCCCACAAAACCTTTTTTGGCCTCGACAGCGGCAACCCCAGCCTCCCTCCTAACGTCCTCCGCCTTTGGGACCAAGCGGGAAGCTCACGTTAGTGGCAGCCAAGGAGAGGAGTTGGCCGTGCCAGGACTAAAGAGGGAGGGGAGGGGAAAAAGCAAGTTTCGCCCACCCCACGCTCGGGCGGAGGGGCGGGAGCTGCGCGTCCGGGCCTGGCCAAGAAGCGTCTCGGGCTCTGTGCATCTCTTCGGGAGCGGCGCGGGAAGGATGCTCGTCCGCAGGGACGCGCGCGCGGGGCGCGGGATGCCGCGGGGCTGGACCGCGCTCTGCTTGCTGAGTCTGCTGCGTGAGTATGGGCCGCGCGCCCAGCCCGGCCGACTTGGTGGCGGGGAGGGTCGACGCTTTCCCGGAGGCAGAGCGCGCACAGCCCAGTTAGGCGGAGCGAAGGGACCCCTGCCCCACCCCACGCCCCCACGCCCACGGCTGCTCCTGGCTTGGTGGGACCGGGGCCGCTTGAACCGAGCCCAATGGGGACTGGTGCCTCCGCTGGGAATGGGTGGGGGTGGGACGCGCCGGGAAGGCGACCACACTGTGAGCGTGAACTAGCCCAGGTGTAAATCGGAGGTCGCGCCGGAGGCTTCCCAGAGTCGATGAGGTTCTCTCGAGTTGTCTCTAAAGTAAAGCTCTTTGAAGATGCCAGTGTCCTTTTGCATTGCCAAAGGTGCAGAGTGCAGAGTTGGAGCCAGAACCAGGAGAGAGGGGAGGAGAGAAGCAGGAAAGTTTCGTGACTGATGGTTGATTCAGAAAGCTACGGCCTGAGCCGGTTCCTGGGAAGAGAGCGTTGGTGCCCACCGACGACTAGGACAGGGGGAGCCAGAACTGGACATTCAAGGAACCAGAGCGAAGCCAACCTGGGATGAGGCCCCAGGTCCTAGGTCCAGAGGCCCAGGAGGCAGGCTGAGTTAGGTGACATGGGGAGCTTGGAATGAAGAACAGTCCGTGAAAATATTCTTGCATTTAAGATCGCAAAGCTAAGTTACGCTCCGTCTTCTGACACCCTCTTCTCCGTTCCACTGGAGAGAAGGCACGGGGTAGATGGAGCTTGTTCTGTGCCCTGCTTTCCTCTCCCCACTGCAACCCCTCACCCTGGCACAAACTCAAACTTGTTACGTTTTGGAGTTTTCTTCCCCTGCCCTTCTTCTCCAAGCTCTAAAGCTAGTGGACAGATCAGCAGACTGGTGGACACTCCTTTGCTTATCCACATCCACCCTGATTTCTTAAGCTCTTGCTCTCACTTTGGTTAAAAAGAAAAATTAGTAGGCGCTCAATAAATATTTATTCATAATTGCTTTCATTTGGGGATAACATTCTCCATCTCATCTCACTGCACTTAGAAGGATTTAAACATTGTAAGTTATTCTCCCTTTGGCTCCAGATTCTGCTTCCAGGCCCCTAGGACTCCCAATTCCCTACTCTTATTGCATCCTAAAGGCCACCCACCACGGCCTCCCAGAGTGACCTGGGCCAGCCAGCTAGGCCTCTTTGCTCTCAGTCTCCTCTGCTGTCCCACTTTGGGTCCACCCAGTTGGAGAGAGACTCCAGGCTGGAGAAAGCTCTAAGTTAGGCTCTGGGTTGACCTGTTTGACAGCCCCAGACATGCCCTTCGGGGCAGGGAAAAAGCTGTCACTAAGGTGTCTGTTGAAGCCCTAGAATGGGGAACTGCCCTGGGGGCTGGCTTCACCTCACAATGGGGTGAGTTGACCAGCGGCTCAGATTCCTATCCGATGCTCCACTCTCCTTTGGCTTCACAGCTCATGATGACCTGGTCCTGGGCCCAGTGAGGCCCACCCTTTTCTTATTTCCTCAGCTGGCCAGTCTCAGTCTCGCCTTGGCCTGCAGCAGTGGGGACGGGGAGAGCGATTTAACCTCTGCAAAACCTTGGGCAGATATGCTGAGAATTTCAGTGTCTCCGCTTTAGGGATGAGCGGTGGGGCCTGGGTCCCTACGTTCAATCTTGCCAGACTGCTAAGGCCAGTGTGTAGCTTTATGCATTCCCCAAGAGCTTTCTAGGATTTGTTTTTATATAATACTAGGAGTCATTTTCTATTATACTGTGGGGTGACTGGAATGAGTGAGTGACTGTACCTTGAAATGCTAACAAAGGGGCATTGCAGAAATTCTGTGCTATTGTTACTGTGAACTTTAGGGCAGAAGAGGGTTCTGTGGTTTTCTCCTCACTGACCCTGACAAAGAGCTTTGTTCTGGGAAGGTCTTTTTTCTGTCGCTGTGAGAACTTGGCCTGGGCTTGGGTACAGCAGCCAACCAAAAGTGGACTTTCTCTGTTGGAGATGGGGTGGCTCTGGGTGGTGACCAGAGTCAGGGTGGGCACTGAGAGGCCACCAGGTAGCACTGCCACACCACCAGCTGCAAAGAGAAATCTCAGGTAATCAGGGAACCCCATTTGTCAGGCCCAGGGTATCTGTTTCCTTCGAGCCCTCCAAGGCTGTCCTTCCTCTTTCCCTAACAAGTCCCACCCCTTCACATTCCTTTCCTTCCTTTGGGTCCTTCGTGTCTGCTGACCCCACACCCATATCCTGTCTGGGGCTACGTGTAAGAGGGGAAAAAAGAAAAGGGAAAAGAATTTTATCAGATATTTTCCGGAGGGGAGAGGACTCCACCCTTTGACTCTCTGCCACATGGCGACCAAGAAGGAGCAGCCTTGGGACCTCTGACTAATTCCGTGGTCCCCAGTTCTCCCCCTCGTAGGGCCAGCCCAGCTGGCATAGCCTTTGCAAATGCAAATCTTCGGCAACATTCCTGTTTGACTGATAAAACGAGCCTGGGCATCTTTTTCTTATCCCTTTGGCTCCACCTCCTGGGCCTGTTCATTCACTGGTTCTCATCTCCTTCCTTCTCTGAGTCTTTGTCTCCAAAAGCTCAGCGCAAGAAGTGCCAAAACTGCAACAGATAAACTCAGGCTCAGAGTCTTACAAAAACAAATCAAAAGGAGCCACAGATTCCACTTCTTACCATCTCACTGCCTGATTTCCTTTAGATCCTGGGCAGGAGGGCCTGGACTTACTTTCAGAGCTGGATGGTTACCCAGTTCCACCCTCAGGGTGCCTGGGCCTCCTTCTCCCACTGACTTTGCTGGATGTCACTAAATGGCCCCGAGTGTGGGGAACTGAAAATGTGAAGGTGTGGAAAAAGAATAAAACACACCCTCCAAAAGAAAATGCTTGGAGTCGCCAGGGCAGAATTTCCATATTTTTCTGGGCTTTGACTTCCCTAATGAGAACATTCTCTTCCTTCCTCAGCTAAGAAATAAAAACACAGTATCTACGATTTTTAGTCCCAAAGGCCCTAGACTTTGCTAAGGAGAAAGACGCATGCATCTTGAGAGAATGTGATACAAATGAATAGGGATGTATACCAGGGTGTACTTCCTAGGACCTACACTCTGGAGACCACTCCAGAAATGAATCACTTCCCTTTGGAATACAAAGGAAAAACCTCTGGCTTCATTGGGAAGTTTCCTCCTGGTTTAAGAGGAAAAAAACCCCAAAGAACCCACCACTGATACCTTCTTAGCAGAGCAGCATCTCTAGAAAATGACTTAATGAGTCTTTGGGTGAAAAAACCTAGACTCCTGGACAAACCTTTGATGTGCAGTGGCAGACAGGAGGCTGAATTGCTGAGCATGATAAAATAAAGTAGAACTTTGTATTTGATGGGCCCTAGAGACAAAAGGTTAAAGGACTCCAGAGGCCAGGAGAACATAGAGAGAGGAGGGGAGGTGCTGGGAGCAGTAGGGAACAGTAGTGAGTGGAAGGTGGAAAAGACCTGGCTGGGAAAATTCCTTATGGTGTGGCGCGGCTGTTTAGCATAGGAATGTCAAGCCTAGGATTTCAAGATTATGCCTTTGTCTCTTCTGGGCTGTGCTGTAATCTCCCTCCATGATCTCAAACCTTCAGTAAACATGCACTGGCCTTGTAACACTGTTAGTGGTGCTCTGGGGTGGGGTGGGGGGAATAAAGGAATGGGTGTTTGGCAAGCCCATGGTGCAGTAGTGTAGAACAAGAACTCCTGCAGCCTGAGGACAGAGAGGCACAGAGCTGTGAGACAGGAGTCGGTGGCAATTAGGAAAATGGAGAAAGAGGTGACTAGGAGAAACATAGGCCCCCAGGAAAAGCTCAAGATATTGGGGTCCCACAGGAAGTGGATGGCGGCCAAGACATACTATTTGAATATTAAAGGGGAGTCTCAGTACCCTGGGAACACTCAGGCCACAGACACTTTTTTATGCTCACACCTCAGCTTAGCCTCTGCAGTGTAGGAAGGCATCAGCCCAGTTCTTTGATCTAGTCCAACATGACCCAAACCCACCGAGACCCATAGCAGGGATGCTTCCTGAATGCTCCCAGGAAAGATGGGTGGCTCACTATCTCCCAGAGTAGTTCATTCTATTAAAAAAAAAAAGAAAAATCCCATGATTATTAGCTTTTTTTGTACTGCAGTGAAATTAGCCTTTATATAGCTTCTAATCATTAACTGCAATCCTATTCCTTAAACTCTCACAGAATTAATCTGATCTTTCTTCATGACAATCCTTAACAACCTTTCTCGTCTGCTCCACTAGATTATAAGCTCCTTGAGGACAGGGATTTATTTAAATTCTAGTGACACAAACACCTAGCAGTAGAAAGGTATTTTCTCTTAGCTTGTGCTCCGCACAATGCTGAGTTTGGTGGCGCTTCGGGAAAATAAGAATGAATGAATGAGTGAAATGAATCTTGAAGAAAGGTATTTATTCTCTCTCCCCAAATTCTTCCTTTCTATATCAAAAATCAGCAAATTTTTTCTGTAAAGGGCCAGACAGTAAATATTTTAGGCTCTGGAGTCCATATGTGGTCTCTGATGCATACTCTGTTTTGTTTTATTTTACAACACTTTAAACATGTAGAAGCCATTCTTAGCTCACTGGCCAAACAACACACAGCCCATGGGTTGGATTTGGTCCACCAGCTATACTTGCCAACCCTTGATCCAGATGAAATAGTACTAAGCCCTCAACCATATGACTTGGTCTCTAGAACTTTCCTAATTCTGGTTATCATCTCATGGGCACTCCCTTAATTAAATAAATTCCCTCTTAAAATATAGCATTGAATGACACGGTTCTACATAGAGGCGGTCAGTGTGAACACGGTTCTACATAGAGGTGGTCAGTGTGAACACTCCTGGTGCAGTTGCCATTCAACCCAAGTACTTATTGTGAACTCAGAGGATTGTGCTCAGTGCCCTGAGTAATACAGACAAGTATGAGAGATGGTTCCGACACTCAGGAAACCTATGATGTAACCAAGGTGACAAGACCTATACTCAGGAAACAGCATATATGATCTTGTGCCAGATAAGTCATGGAGATATGTGTCTTAAGGTCTCTGAGAAGCAGGAAAAAAGGGACCTGTCCTAAAGATAACCACTGTTTCTTGAGCATTTACCAGACAGGCAACTGCTTTACACCCCCATCTCCTTTATTCCTCCGAACAACGAGGAAGTAGGCACTATTTTTATCTCCATTTTACAGGTGAGGTGTAGAGAGGTGAAGAATCTTCCCAAGGCCATGCAGCTAGAACTCGGTAGAGGAGCCTTTCAACATGGTCCAATTACAGAGCCCGAGCTCTTTGTTTTGAGGCTCTCCTGTCTTCTCACCAACCATCCATGCAGGCTGTGGGCTCCCAGCGGCGGCCAGCTTGTTCCTTCTTCCTAGTACTGCATCTAAGATACCCAGGATCTCCTCCAAGAAACTCCTCTTGGGCCAGGTGCTAGAATTTGAAAGCATGGGCAGAACGGTGCTGACTGGCTAGGAGATAAGAAAACAGCACCAGCAAAAACTAAAACTCAGAGGGTCTGTGAAAAACAAGACCAAATATAGGGGGGAAAAACCTCTTAAAGTACAGGAATTTAGGTAGCAGAACTTTCTGGATCTCTGAGGATTTGTAAACCCCCTTTAAAGACTAAAAGAATCTTTAATTTACTAATTGTAGGTAGAAATCTTTTAAAAACATATTACATATGTTTCTGCTTTCTTAGTGTATCAGGAAAAAAAGGGCTTTCACCTTCAGACTCAGTTGTATCATGAAAATAATTCGGTTATGGTGCAGCTCAGTGGCATCATTAATGCCTCTGAAGGTGTATATTTTCATTTACTCCTACCATAAATGGTTCCAGACTAGTGTGGTTTTTGATACTCATGTCTGTTTTTCATTTATTACTGCTTATTCATTTTCAACTGTTGCTTCTCCTTATTGTTTGCTTCTCTTTCTAATTTTTAGCTTTAGCTAGGATATCAGATAAACAAGTTTGTTAGAATTGTGTGTAAAACAAGAATAATTGCCTCTGAAATAAGTACCTGTAAGTTAAATGCATGACTTTTACAACATGAATTTTGTGACATCTATTTGGCTTCTTGGAATCCTCATTTTGCCAACTTCCTGATACCTTGTCTCCTTTTGTCCCAAGTTCATGGGTTGAGATCAAGTAGGGTAGGTGGGGGCAAATAGGGTACTTAGGGAGATACAGTTAATAAAGATGGAGTGAGGAGTAAACAACAGAAGATAGCCTTTCATTCAAATTTAAATTGTAGGTATAATGCTCTGTTGGGTTGGGGGTAAGGGCTGTTCTTCCAGTCTAGAGTGGAATGGGGTGGAGGTTTCATCGCTTGTCTCTTGGCTGCTATGACTTCCATACAGAGTTGGGGATAAGAAGCTCAGATAAAGAAAGATCAGTATTGGATGGTTTAATGCCATGTGTGTGTGGGGGAATATAGGATAAGAACTGATTCTTATAAATGTCATTCCTCCAAGACCCATCTCTTCATGGGAGCACGAGAAAGGGAGCCCTAGAGACTTAAAACAAGAGACTCCAGTCCCTACTGACAGACTCTGTGCTGCAGTGTAGGTCAGGATTGGCCCCCAGCGTTCTGCCAAGGTGTCCCCTTGCCCTACACCAGCTCATATGTACCCCATTGCTCAGCCTTGCCTTTCTGCCTTCCCTTTTTGTCCTGTTTCTCTAGGGTCTCAGAGGCTTCCCCACTCACCCTGGGCTCAGGGACATAAATCTGAGATTGGGGTTCCCTTTCCATTTGCAGACAGATCCTGCAACCTGTTCCTCAGTTCCTGGCTGAGGGATGGGTGGGAGGGGGCAGCCGCAGACGGGAGCCTGACCCTAGTGGCTCAGTAGCTGGCCTGGGTCCAGGATTGCTTCAGTCATCTGGAACAGGCACGTCTGTCCTCAGAGCTAGCAGCAGGTCTCTCTTCACATCTGGAAAAGTTCAAAACTGTTTGTCTGGGTGAAGGAGGCCCTGGGGAGGGGGTTCAAAAGCATGACATCACCTCAGCCAGGCCCAGCTTTCTCTGGGGAGAGAAGAGGGCTGGGCCAGGTTGGGCCAGATGGGATTCCCAAGAATTGATGTATTGGTGGGAAGAAGAAAAAAGGGTGGGCAGGAAGAGTGATGTCAAGGGGGAGTTCCAGTGGTGACTTGGAATATGGTACCTTGAGAGGATGGTCCTTCAATTCAGTGTCCAAATGTTCCCACCACCTGCCCCCTGAACTGAACTCATAGCTTAGGGTCAGATTGCTGAGAGGGACTTATTTAAGGACAAAAGAAGACTGGATCTGCTTCCCCATCTATTTTATTTTGATAAATCCACTCCCCCCACCCCCGCTACTGCCCCCTATCCCAGCCAGACAGGAGCCCATACTTTTCTCTCCAAAATATGGAAGATGCATCCTGATCCTTGGCAGTTTGGACCCCCTGACCCTCTTGTTACTTCTACTCAAGAGTCAGCTAAACCTCAGTGGCCCCATTGCTCCTTGCCCTGCATGAATGATGGCCTTCCCTCTTGGCCAAAACCCTGGTGATCTAGGCTCCTATCTCTAAAACGGAGATAGCAATATCACTTGTTCCTCCTGCACACTTGCCCTATAATTTTGAGATGTGAGTTTTGTACTCACCATGAGTATCAACCTACCTGCAGCAGGCTGGGAAGAGAGGCAGATGAGGGAGAGTGAGACTTGCCACCACCTTTAGGGGAAACTTTTGGCCTCAGGTTCATTGCCTTGAAACTAATGCCTAACTTCCACCTTGATGCTGAGGAAAAGAAGAGGTGTCATTTTGCACTGCTATTTACCCAGAAACAGTCCTAGGTTTCAATCAGTAAAGTTAGAGACAAGCTTTAGGGTGGCCTGGGACCCTCAGGTGCCTTTCCTTGAGGATGCTACTGCCGGGTATGAGCTCTGAATACCAAGTCTACCCCTAGTATTTACAGGGCTCAAGCTAAGAATACAATGGAGGCCCACATATTATATGTTTAAATACTTCAAAGTTATAAATCAGGCCAACCATATGGTAAATAAAATATCGTCTATCCTCTTACCTTGAAAAACTTACCTTCATGGCTACCTGGAAGGCCAGATTTGAATTTAGGACTCTCAGAGCCTTGGAGTTCAATGCCACAATGTGGCTTAGCAGGAAGAGGTGGTCCTCGGCCCTTGCCTACCCTCTTGTCTTCTTCTTACTCATGGCTCTGGTCCATACTGTAAGGGATCTTGCATGCAGGCAAGGGACACCCCACCTACAAGGTGGGGTTAGATCTTAAGCTCTAACCCTTCTCCCTGCAAACAGCCACCCATTGGCCACCCTTGGGCCTTGGAGGCACACACCCTGGTGCTGCAGTTCACCCTTGGAAGGAGGGACTGGGAGAAGAGGCCCATGCAGGTCCTCAAGTGAGCAAAGAGCCATTTGGGCAAGAAGTTCTAGGACTTCTGGTCCCAACACATGATCTAGAAGAGAGGGTACACCTCTGTTGGCCCCATGGACTCCTCGTAGCTTGGGGACGGGGAGGGCAGGAAGAGGAACAGAGTGTAGGCTCTAAAGTGCAGGGTCCAGACAGGTAGCTTCTCCTTTCTGGGTCTAAGGATGGCACTGCTGGGTACCACAGGAAATATGGAAGGGTAAGAACCTGCAGGAAATTTTTCCGAGAATAACTAGTTCCAGGAACGTTATACTATAGCAATTTAACATTTGTTATCTCATTGATGTTCCCAATAATCCCTCACTTTAAAAATTAGTAAACTGAGACACACACACATTAAATTACAGAGTTATTGACAGAGCCAGGACTAAGCTCTCTGTTCCCAGGACATTTGTTGAGAAACCAAGCCTTATGCTCTCTAGTCCATCAGCTACATTCCTATAGGTCGGAGCTTCCCGAAAGAAATCTTGGGGTTGCTAGCTGCGGTTCCTCAATAAAAGGAAAGAATGAAAGGATTTGGGGAATGGGGGAGTCTAGGGAGGATAGAAGATTTTTAAAGGATTACATAGAGATGGTGTCAATCTAGTGATTATTCCAAGAGTTAATACATTGGCTGAAGAGAAGGATACATTAAAAAGGAAATAGAGGCACATCTTTCCCCACATTTTAGATCTTGGCAATACTTATTCAGGTGTAATTTGAAATTTTAATATTTTACTTAGCATGTTATGAGCACTGCCTCATATTCTCATGCTGCTGTAGTTTTTGCATTTTTCTATTTGCAATGATTATGGTATGTTAAGTGCATATAACATCTATCCTATTGTAATTCATTTAGTTGCTTGCAACTTTTCCCTCCTATAAATAATACTATACTAGATGTTTGGTGCATGCAAACTTTTCCTCCTCTCTTTCCTTAAGAAAAATCTAGTGAGAAATTAGTCACATGTCCAGGAGGATGTCCTTGTTCTGCTCTGTTGTCAGGGGTGGCAGGGGATGCTCTAGATGGATTCTACCTAAAGTCAAGAGATTGAATCAGGTGATGCCACGAGGCTCCAGGATGATTTGAGTTCTGATATTTCTTCTTTGTTTCTCTATAGCCTCTGGGTTCACAAATACAGAGAACTTGACTACTACTGCCACAAAGACATCTACCCCAGGAATATCTTCAACTGTCCCTACAACTATACCCAACCAGGAAAGCACAATATCAAGTACTTTTGGAAACATCAGCCTCTACGTTGTCTCTCAGGACAGCAATGGGAACACAGCAGCCATCTCAGGTAAAGAGTGTTTGTCTCGGGCCCCAGAAGGATGCTGCTGGCACTAGCGTAAAGCATTAGTATATTTGCAAATACCCCCACCCTCTATTTCCCCCCACAGATGGAAACATACAAGCCCCTTTTAATAGTGGCTTGAGTATCGTGCTTAGGGTACCCTGAAGTAAGCGCTAGACAGTTCTTCCTGTAGTGACAGCTTTCTCAAGTCAACGCCTTGGCAGCTGATCCTGATTTGTAATGCTCCTTGCACTCTTTGAGTTCAGCTTAGTGATAAAATAAGGATCTGATGAGGACTCTGTAGAGATCTCTGATCTCTTCTAAGTGAACAGACTGTGTACAGGTTCAAATTGGGGGTCTTTGACATCTCTAGGGTGGACCAGTTTCCGGTTCAGTTTCAGAGTGCTGAGGGCATCTCTAATACATTCTATGATTATAGCTATGGTTCCAACAGCTGGCTGGAAATGAGTTGGTAAGGGTTAAGACATGAAGTAACTCTTAACTTCCCAAATTCCCTTTTCTGGGTTGAAGTCCGTGCCTATGTCAATGAACTGAGATGTGTTTGTGTGTGTGTGTGTGTTTATGCCAATGCGCATATATTCACACTTCTGTTTTGGTCAATTCCAGAGCCTACAGTCAATTTCACATCTACCTCTGGGATCACCCCAGTCCCTGGAACCATGAACTCTTCTGTCCAGTCACAGACCTCTTTAGCCACCACAGTGTCTTCTACCCCCATCAACTTTACAACTTCAGAGATGACCTTGCAGCCCAGCATGTTACCTGGAAATATTTCAGATTCCCCATACAATAGTACCAGCCCTGTGACATCTCCCACTAACCCCTATACATCATTTTCTCCTATCCCAAGTACCATCAAGGTGGGTGAATCAGGCCAAAAATGACAGATTGCCCCCTCACTTCATATGTATGCAAGCTCTCTCTTCCCCTTAACCTCTGCTTATCCCAACCAATGAATTTGGGTCATATAGGACTTAGCGTGAAAAAAGTGCAGCATAAATATTGCTGGAAGGGATAGAACAGGGAGAAGAGGGGTAGAGTTGGGTAGCAAGGCTGATCTGTGCCGTGGGTACTATATTTCTAGGAAGTAGAGAGCAAAGAGGATTCTCAGAAATCCATCCAATTCTCTGTGGTTCTTTCCAGTACCTCTTGGTCTAATCTTTGACTAGGGTACCACTCGCCTTTGGGCATATTTGGAAACCATCTTCTACTTGATGGCGCTGCTTTTCCCAAAATGTTTAGGGCAAATACCATTTCCTCTATGCAAGAGGGTTTGGTGGTATGCCAGGAGTAGAGAGGCAGTGAGGAACTAGGCAGACCAGGGATGTTGAGCTCAATCTGCCTTTCTCAGCCTTGGGGCCTGTGGCTATCAACAGCTTTCAGCAGGCAGAGGAGAAAAAGTG